TACTCCAGCGACAACTATTTCGATACAGAGGGAGTAATACTACTGGTGGTCCAGCTACTTTATGTTGGTAGAATAGACCCAGGCTTGCCAGCACGTGGCTCATTAAAGCGTCTGACTTTGCAAATTCAGTCCCTCAAACGTCAGCAAACGTGTTCGGGCGTGTTTGCGGGCACTGACTAAGCAACTCCCAAATTATGTCGTTCACGTTCGTATATTTCATATCCGGTGCCTCGTATCCATACTAGCATGCAACGTAGATAAAAATAACGTATATCATCACACAAACATAGATTCAGATAGGGAAATGCACATTCCAATCATAAAAAGATTACCGACGGATGTCCAAAAGATCACCAAAGTTCACATAATTCACATAAACGACGGACAAATTTAAACTACATTACTAAAAACTAGAAACTGAAGATGGATGCAGTGGAGATTCACCACTTGCTCGCCGGCCCTTTGCCCTTCCGGTTGTTGGCGCAGCTGTAGGCGTCGACGGCTGGTGGCGGATCGTCCGACTCGTCGTCGGAGGAGGAGTCGCCGTCGTTGGAGTCGAAGTCGGAGATGATGACGAGCCCTTTTAGCCACCGGACCTCCATGTCCTGTTGCCGCTTGAGCTTCGCGAGCTGAGCTGCCTCCGCCGCCTCGCGCTCGGACTGCTCAATGGCAATCCGGAGCGCCTTGGCGTTCTTCCGACGGAGCCGCCGGGCGTCCGTCTCCGCGGTCGTACTCGATCGGCGGTAGACCCATTCGAGGAGCCGCGCGTCCTCGTCGGGCTCCGCCTGCATCCCGCGGCGGCGACACACTGACTACTCCGCCTCCCTCCTCTCCCTTTCCCGCTGCTGCTGGGCAGCGGACGGCGCGCGCCTCTGATTCCGGCGAGCGCGTTCGGGCTGGCGGGGCGGGCACAAGCACCCACCACTGGCCACGTGGGGGAGCAGCAACCGACGGTGGCAAGGGACGGGGTAAGGGAGGCACGGATTGCACAGGCCGCCTGTCGGAGCTGCGCCCAGACCGGGAGGGGCCAGCGCCGGCGTCTGAGCTACACCGATGGGGAAGCTACGGCTGAGGCGAGGCTGCAGATCCGGAGCTGCCCTGGTCTCCACCTTGGACCGCTCCAAGGCGATGCAGAGGGAAAGCTGATAGTTCGGATCCAGCTCAGAGTCGGAATGGTTGCCGGAGCTCGACATTGCGCGGATTCGATCGGAATCGATGCGGGGAGAGGAGAGGACGGAGCGAGAGAGGAGAGTGAGTGAGCTAGGGTTTTAGAGTGATGAGCCGGTTGCGGTTTTTCGTCGGACATCCGTGGGATCGGTGGTTGGCCGGCCTTGTCAGGTGGACGCGCCCGGGCGTTCCCGGACCATTCCATATCCGCCCCATATTTGAGCTGGATATGAGTGGTGCTAGTCAGCCCAGACATTTGAGGTCCGTTTAAGACGCCCATCTGAATCAAAAAATCATGATAGGTCAGTGATCGGGCGGGCGGCTAGGGTGTTTGAGGCCGGTTTGGGGCATCTTACATAAAAGTTGCTATACACGGTGATGTGGTTCACGTTGCTTCTCCTACATTGGAGCATCTCCAGCCGTTCGGTGCCCCCAGGGACAGAAATAGTGCCTTCTGGGGGCTAGCCGACGCTATTTTGGCCGTGAGGGCGGTCGGGTTCCCAACCACGGCCGCAGGTTGGCCCCCAGATGCCGTTATTTGAATTGAAATTCGGCTAAAATTAGACGAAAAAGAAACGAAATTAGCTAATATTTGGCGGTTTTCATTCATATTTGTACATAATAAAGAAGACATAATAAAATATAAAAAACTACGCCGCCCGTCGCCGCCCCCCGTCGTCCAAGCCTTCTACATGCCGAGGAGCTTGTAGAAGTTGGTGTAGTCACCGCCGTCGCGCTACCCATTGCCACCACCGTCTTTGCTGCACCCTTGACCTGCGTCGCCGATGCGTGGGGGGTTGGACGGCCCGGGCGCCTTGTCGTCGTTGTCGTCGAGGATGACCATGCCGCCCTTGCCGCGACGCCGAGCAGCGATCTTCTCGAGGACGCGACGCTGGCGCTCCATCTCATCGGATGGCATGGCCTCGTGCTCCTTCTTCACGGGAAGGAGCGCCGACTCGGTCTTCGGCTTGGCGACGCGGGAGAAGGGACACGGCCGCCCTCATTGATGACGAGGGCACCGCCATAGGTGTGCCGCCCGAGCGGCGTCTCCTGTGGCTCCGGCTTGACGGGGAGGAGCGCAGGCGACCCGGAGGAATGGGAGCCCGACGAGGATGACGTGGACGCATGGCGGGAAGGGATGGGATGCGCGGTGGTGCGTCTTTACTGCGCCGCCCGTGAATCAATGGAAGGCTAACCGGTGGCAGCCTTCACATTGATTCCCGCGAGAAACCAAGGCGATGAGGACGACGAAGATTCTCGGCGACGCACTGCCGTTGACTAAGCGGGTCCACCAGTTTTCGCGCCAACATTGTTTCCTCCGGCGCCACCGGGTTCGGCCTGGATCCGTCGACGTCAAATTAAGTCCTAACCTCAAAAAAATTGATCTTCTGTGACGCAACTGGACCGAAATTTTTCAGCCGGCGATAAAAAAGGGGCTTCGCCGGTCCAGTGGAGCCGGCCCCATGCATTTCCTGTAGAAGTTCTTTTTTTTTTAAAAAACAGCAGCTTATTTAGTGAGGACCTGCCTACACCGGCCACAGAAGGACTTTCCCGGGCCACAGCAGGCAGCCGCATTGGATGCGCGACCACAGGCCCTCGGCAGCAACGGTGACTTCATGAATGGTAGCCGGGTCACGGGTGGGCCATGGCTTGACGTTGCCAACAGGAAATTTTGGCAAGTCATGGTGTTTAGTGCATATATATTTTCTCCCTGTTTGGTTACCATGAGTGCATGCATGACATCCACAATGCTTCTTGCTATGGGTACAAGGGCTTGGACCACTTCTCTTTCTTTTTTGTGCAAAAGGGTTTTTAGGTGACGGCTATATAGTATTTCATTGACAGTAGTATGTGGCATATATATTCGACAAAATGATTTTGTCAAGCAAGTAGTATGTGGTATGATTCAGACAGCCGTGTAAGTAAAGATATGCACATTTCATTTTCTAATTTGCGACGAATTAACTATGCAAAATATTAAAGCTGACATCGTGTCAAGTGTTTTCTATATGATGTATGGTCCTTGAAGGAGAAGGTCTCACATGGCTTGTCTCTACTACGAGCATTGCACTCATGAAAAAAATACATTGTAAAACCCATTACATTACTATGCTTTAACTTGCATCAAGTTGTGTTGTATCAAATTTCTGTTACTTCTTAAAACAAAACGATAAAAAAAAATATTGTTTTCACAATCGATTGAATCAGGTAATGATAATGTTAGCCTCCGTCATTGCTTTTATGTCAGCTCTCGTAAACAAAAAGTACACTAAACATCAAAATATCTTCACACCACTACGTTGTCACTTGCATCAACTTGCACAGTTATCAATTTACATGTCACTTTATTCTCGAGGAAACCAAAATTCTTTAGCAACAACTAATAAAATCATACATCATCATGATAATGTCTGTCTCTATCACTGTTTAACCGGTCTTCACGAATAACTATGACATTTCTATATAACCAAGAACTGGTCCCCTCCCGGGTTAAACTATAAAACCATTGGGCTCTTCTCCATAAGAAAATATAACTCATACACAACTACAGTAAAAAGTAAACTAAGCAGTAAAAATCTCCACGCCACCTATGTTGTCACTAGCATCAACTTGCACAGTTACAAATTCACCCATTACTTTCCCTCGAGCAAACCAACATCATGTTGCAACAACTATACATGGTCATGATAATGTCTGTCTCTGTCACGGTTAAACCAGGCCTCGCGAATTACAATGATGCAACATATGCTCATAACCTAGAACTAGGAAACACATCGGTTTCCTCCGTGGGTTATACTATAAAACCACTCCCCTTCTCCTCCATACAAAAAAAACCCAGCTCAAACTTGGAATTTGCTGTGGGGGAAGCCAAACCATTTGCAATTTTGTATTGCCAATGTTCTCTCCCACTTGGGCAGCATAATGCAATAGTGCAAATGGCGCACCAGATGCAGACACACGGAGACGCAATAAAATAAGAGCTGAGGGTGTTACTTGGAACAAAGGATAAAAGGGGGAGCCCCAAGTGGGCAAAGGGAGGGAGTGACACGGTCGAGGAGGGGCGTGCGGGGGGCAGAGAGAGGGAGCGCAAAGGGACGGCGGAGGCAAGCTAGTTTCCCGGGGGCGGACGCACCGAGAGAGGGCGGCGGGAGGGAGAAGGAGGCGCGTGGGAGCCATGCTTCTCCCCTCTTCTTCGTCTTCCGCCTACGACCCCAAAGGTTTTCCCATCTACCTCTAGGTCTTTCCGATCGTTCCGCCCCCCGGTAGCGGTTATCCTTTGCTGGTAGCTTGCCTGTGGATTGCTTCTCGCCTCCTGCGTCGTCTTGCTAGATATTTTCGTGGTCAGAACGTGAATCTTTCTCCCGTGGTTCTTGGCTGGGAGAATCTTGCATGATATTTATGGATTTGGTTTGCATGTCAGCCGGTGGGCATGGATGCAGTTGACTGGTCTTGAGGATCTCCCACTCTCACACAGTTGCTCTTTTAATTTGATGGCGTGTGGATTATGGGATGGTGGATTTGGGCTGGGAGCTGTTCTTGACTTTTGGCCTTGAGCAGCTCCTTGTCTACATGCATGTTCTTGGGAATTGGGATGCCATCATCGCCATTAATTATCGGTTGGCCGGCAAATAATTGACCCCTTGCGTTTTGTTTACTAGAGGTAGCAGAAACAGTTAACAACCTTGCCCCGTACCTACGCCCTGCGCTAGTTCCTCTGTTTGTGTTAATTTGGCCTTGTTATTTCACTAACCATAGTTTAATAGTATAGCTTCCTACAAGAAATTGCATGCGCTAGCTGTTCCTGATGACACTTGGTGAGAGCTGATAAAGACATGAACAGACAGCATTGTGATGTCGTTCTCGACCTTCAGTTGGTTAGCATCAGAAATATCAACCTAGTAAATAATCTGGTTGATAACTCGATTTATCTGGTCTGAGTGTGTAGGGCCGTAACTGTTGATTCATTTGGTTATCTTTCATTCTGCAATAATACAGCGTCCCATTCTTTCATCAGGTGACTCCTTTGGGAAATCGGTTGACGATCATATGAGGTCAACTTTGACTTTTGGTGATAAGCATTCTGTATATGCAGGTCAAAACACTGACTATGGCCACCCAATGGTAAGCTCTTAGGACGAACTGAACTTCGTTTAGGATACACAAAAAAGAGATTCAGTCCTCTTTCTTTGATTCCGGGGTGTGTGACTGATAACATATTTCCACATATCATTCAGGCTTGCATTTCATACCCGTTCAACGATTCTGGTTCTGGAGTTTGGGCGGCCTATGGGTCACGGGCTATGGTATGTCTTTCAAATATGTTTTTTGCACGCTATCAAATTGTCAACTCCGACTATATTTTAATTCATCACTGAGGGAGGTTATAAACCTATAGCATTTTAATCAACGCATATAATAATCTGAATACACGCTGAGTGGATTCGCTTATCATTCTTTCAACAGTCCATCTTGCAATGATATCATGTATGTAGAAGGTTAAAATGGGTTAGTAGTTTGCATTTTTTTTTGATATAAAAGTTTTCAAGTAGAGACGGCCTGGTTTAAACTTAACATAATCTGCTCATATAACATAAGAGGTGGGGACCACACTCTCCCCCGGTGATTCCTCGCAAAAATCATCTTAACACAAACATGAATGGGTGTTAAATCACCAGTATACCATGAACTCTAATGGCAGGTTTTATTTGTAAGCAAGATACTAATGAGAATGCACTAAAATTTTCCATTTACATTAACTTGTATTTTTCCCTTGATAAAACAGCTGTTTTATGGTTATGAGCAATTACAGTGGTTAGGAAAATGTGCTGGTGGTTTTGATTCTTGAATTCTTTATTGATCACTATTTTCTAGTAGGCCGTGATGAGAATATCGTGTTATGGCCTATATCATTTGTTTGCATGAACCAGATTTCATTTCTATCTCATCCACATACCCACTAGTTTTATATACCCAGTCCTCCGTTGCCTCCGGCTGTTCTTCCTTATGCGTTAAAGAATATCATGTATTTCTGATTTGCTTGAACTCTCGTGGCTTTGTAAAGGCTCTGTGCTTCTAGTTATGTAGAGGTCGGATGTATGTGGTACCAGCTTGTAGGTAATTCCTAGGTTTTCAGAGCAGTGGTAATTGCTCTGGAAGGCTGGTTGGTGCTTCCTGCTCCAAACCTTGCTTTCGTAATCACATATCTATCAATCTATGGCTGCACCAGTAGTGTACCTGCAACTCCCTGAGACGCATGTGGCGTCCTGTTAGGCACTAGTTATAGTTAGAGAAAGTAAGTGACCTGTCCTGCTCTTGTATAGTGATCAGCCAGATCTGCATATATTGCTGCTGCGGTTCTGTTATTGCAATCATGTACAGCCTGAGACCAATAGTACTTGTGCAGTGTTACCTTGTCATACGGTACGGAAGATGCCTTCAACCATTTTCCTAGGTTGGTACTATATCAGCAGCTAGACAGGCAAAGTGAATCGGCAAGGCCATATGTAAATCATAATTATTGGCACTACATGAGGCATTCCTATGTACATTTTCAATTTTTCATGGATATGACTGACCAGTTGTACATGGAACAGTTCCAGCCCCTCATGGCGGGCGGAGGGGCATCTGCAACGGCAAGAGTTCCATTGCCCGTCGAACTAGCAGCGGATGAGCCCATATTTGTCAATCCCAAACAATATAATGGGATTCTCCGGCGAAGGCAGCTGCGCGCTAAGTTAGAGGCCCAGAATAAACTCACCAAAAACAGAAAGGTTCTTGTCGCTTGTCCTTTGTTTACTTTGCCATTGTTAATTAATATTTCTTGCCCCTCGCAACTTATAAGAAGCTCATATAGTGCCTATGGTTATGTGAAATGAAAACTTTTGTATTTCTAGAAAAATAACATAACATTTGTATCGCTACTCGTTTCTGCTTGGCCTGACTTTGAACGCAATCTCCATCTGCAGCCCTACCTCCACGAGTCGCGCCATCTTCACGCGATGAAGCGGGCAAGAGGTTCCGGGGGACGTTTCCTCAATTCCAAACAGCTGAAGCAGCAGCAGCAGTCTGGCAGTGCCTGCACCAAGGCCATTGCAGATGGCGCGAATTCCCTGGGTTCGACCCATCTACGGCTAGGCAGCGGCGCAGCCGGAGACCGAACCAACTCGGTGTCCAAGGCGATGTCCTCCCAAGAGAACAGCAAGAGAGTCGCCGCCCCGGCTCCCGCCTTCACCATGATTCAAGCGGCGCGCAAAGACGACGACTTCTTCCACCATCACGCCCACCATCTCAGCTTCTCCGGTCATTTTGGCCAGTCAAGCGACCGGTATACGTAATAAGGGGTCCTCCGTGCCCCGGTGTGGTCAGGCAACTCATCCTTGGCTTTATTTCTGGCGTGTTAGGACTTCAGAGATAGTGTATCTCACAGTGCTTTGCAGCCCATAGTTCTCGGCTTGATGTTCGGTATGCAAATGTTGGTGTACTGGTGCGTTGGAACAAAAGTTTGATGTGTTTACATGACGATTGGTCGCGGAACTCATCTTGTGTTCTGCTCGACCCTAATGTGTGTGCTCACATGTGAATTCCATAAATGCCGTGTAATCATAAAATTTCAGCAGTTGTGTATACGGTGAATGTGATGTGCCACGACGCCTCTTCACGCAGCTGCCTCCTGTCGGCTCCACCGTTGGTCCACCTCGTCTCCTTTAGGGCCATGTACCGGCCCTTGCCCGCGGAAGGGCTTTGTTTTAGATGTTTCAGTTGTGTTTGAGTTTGTATCTTGCCCAGGAAGAGTAGATGGTGACGGCTCCTTAAAAATGAAATAAAGTTCTCCCCGTCTAGCCCCCGTCCCGATGTTGCGTTTAGCATCATAAATGAGTGTGGAGGTTGTCTCGGGTGGATCTGTCTTTAGTGGATTTGCTCGGATTTCGTCCTTGATCATCTACGTTTATGTGTTTTCAGTTTGGATCCTTCCGATCTATGCCACTCTTCATCGGCGACAGTGATGCGCTTGTTATATGGGGTCTTAACACGATGACTTTTCGACTGTCTACTATAGCAAGTTTTGTCCGGTTCCAGCAAGGGAGGGGCGATGATGGCAGCGCACCGTGGCTTGCTTTAGTGTTTGTAGTCGTCGCTAGGTGGTCTACGAATTTGGATGTACATTTTATTATTTATGATGTTCGTTGTACTATCATGATTGAAGATAAATAGATCGAAAGCTTTTTTGAAAAAATATAAATACATTAAATGTATGTGCCGACGAGTAATATTGCTGCAAGCTGCAAGCAATGATGGGTACATTGACTAGTTCTAGCTTGTAGTCTAGTAAGTTATTATAAGGGTTGTGCGTGCTTTGCTGTGTTGTTTCCTTTGTGAGGATTTGCTTTGGTGCCTGAGAAAGATGAGGATGTACTTTTTTTTTCCTTTTTATAATGCATTGTTTTGGTGGGCCTTTTCTAGAGGTGTGATTTTGTGTTATCTGCCAATCAACCCATATATATGTGGGAAAATTTCTTATGCTGACGATCACATGTACAGTATTGGTACTACAGTGCAAGGTTTTGGTTACCGGTCGAAATTTCAAGATTTTCTATGGTTACCGCGTATTTCCGTGCCCCTGGGTAAATCCCCGTACCAAGTAAAAATACCAGTATTTTGATTTTTTTTGAATTTAATCACTCAATTTATACTAAAGTATGTAGGATCTAATTAATGCCATGAGAGTTGGTTCTCGCGTGTTGGGTAGCAACCTAGTTCCTGTTCTGAGAGGTCTCTGGTTCAAATGTTCGTTCATTCACTTATTTGAATTCAAAATTCAACTATAAAATTCGTTCGAAATATTCTTGGTATTTCTTGGTATTTCTCGGTAACCGTGGTAACCGCGTTTATCAGCCCCCCTCGGTAAAAATGTCTTATTCGATAACCAAAACCTTGCTACAGTGTCGCATGTTGATGATTATTTTTTGCCAGGCGATGAGAGGTTGCACGTGACTCATGTGCTTTTATAGGCTGGTTGTTGCTGATTGATTTGACAAATCAATGACTCGGTCAAAATCATGAACCAAATTTGAGATTGGACACGTTAATCAAAATCATTGACCCGGTCTAAATTATGAACCAGACCTGAAATTGAACACCTCAATGGAATAAAAACTATGAACCAAACCCAAAATAACCTCAATAAAAATCGTTGAACCAGTCAAAATCGTGAGTCTTACCCAAAATGGAACACCTCAATTGAATGATAAACCTTCAAAATAGGGAGCATAATGTATTTATATATGTACTCATCGTTGTAGCAAAACGTGAGTAAGGGCATGTTTAGTTGCCTTTGGCTCTCCCAAACAGGCCAACTGGATGCAAGAAAATCTATTTGGTTGCGTATAGGAGAGCCTGGCCAACACGAGCATGAAGATTAAAGTGTACCAAAGGCTGACTCGCTATGAATGCTCGAATTGACCGTTTGCAGCTAGCTAGGCTGAATCAGTGGCGTGCATGATGATGCAGGGGCAATCTACATGGAGATGGCAGGAAACCAAAATCCCCCCCCCCCACCACCTTTTACTCGCTCACCTCTAACAGAAGAACAAATCAAATCTTAGTTCTTCGCACTGGTGACATCAGCGATTCAGATCTGCGGATGCATGGACGGCAGGGAGTTAAATCTCCGGAACAAGGACTTGCTTGTCCCCTTCGTCTCCGTCTCCATCTAGTTTGCCTCATCTCCGGCATGGGCGAGTTATCGGTTGCAATGGAGGTAAGTAGCATACCACCACCCTCCTCCGTTAGGCAGGTTCTAGGATTGGTTTCGCCAGTACTTTCTGCAACAACGATTTGACTAGGGCGAATAGATGAAGCTGGTAGTTCAGGCATCGACACTCATAGATGTGATTCAGGCATGAGGTATTTTGATCCACAAGAGAGCGATTCGTCACATTGAACGTGGCCTGTATCATCTATTGTTAGCCTGGGACAAAGAGAGGATGTTTAATCTAAAACACATCTATATGGGCTACGATGAGAGGTCGTGAACATGCTGCAAATGTGAAGATCACATTTTGCCAAGCTTGTTGACACATTTAGGGAAAGAGGACGGGTTGCTACAAAATAGTATCCACACCACTCTGGAAGAGAAAGTAGTAATGTTCCTTCACGTAGTGGGTTATAACCAAAGGTTTAGAGTGATTAACAACACGTTTGTGAGTCTAGTGGGGCAATTTACAAGTATTTCAAGCATGGAAAACAAAAAGGAAACGTTGTATGGAAAACAAAAAAAAAATGTACGCACACGTAAAATCTATCCATGGAGATGCATAGCTACAAGAGGAGGAGAGCATCTACATACCCTTGTAGATCGCTAAGCGGAAGCGTTTATCAACGCGGTTGATGTAGTCGTACACCTTCTCGATTCGTTCCGATCAAGAACCGAACGTATGGAACCTCCGCGTTGAGCACACATTCAGGTCGATGACGTCCTCACCTTCTTGATCCGGCAAAAGGAGCGAAGTAGTAGATGAGTTTCGGAAGCACGACGGCGTGGTGACGGTGGTGGTGAAACTATTTCCGCAGAGCTTCGCCAAGCACAATGGATTTAGAGCGGAGGATGAACTAGAGGGAGGAGATTAGAACCACACAGGGCTTCTAATTATGAGGATTAGATATAGCTAGGGCTAGCTCTAATTAGTCAATTAGTACCAACTAGAGGAGGCTAAAAAACTTATGTTCTAGGGTCTAGCCCTGCTCCTCTATTTATATGTTGAGCCCTAGGGTCGTTACTTGGGGAGATGGCCTCCCCAAAGTTGGTTTGGAACGCAAGGAAGAGTCCTTCTCGGATTCCAGCACCAGACGCCAGGGTCCCTGGCGTCTGGTCCCCGATCTCCGCAAAACTTCCTTTTACACCGACCTAAAGCCCCATGCGCCTTACCCCTTGGCCCAACTATCATCCTATATATCAAGAATTACCTTCGGGCCTTCCAGAGCTCCTCGTCATGTCTATGATCTCATCCGGGACTCCGAACAACATTCGATCACCAACATACATAACTCATATAATACTATAGAGTCAATGAACGTTAAACGTGCGGACCCTATATGTTCGAGAATGATGTAGACATGATCGAGACGCCTCTCCGGTCAATAACCAACAGCAGAACCTGGATGCCCATATTGGTTCCTACATATTCTACCAAGATCTTTATCGGTCGAACCTTTATGACAACATACGTAGTTCTCTTTGTCCATCGGTATGTTACTTGCCCAAGATTCGATGTCGGTATCTCCATACCTAGTTCAATCTCATTACCAGCAGGTCTCTTTACTTGTTCTGTAATACATCATCTTGTGACTAACTCCTTAGTCACTTTGCTTGCAAGATTCTTGTGATGTTGTATTACCGAAAGGGCCCAGAGACACCTTTCCATCATACGGAATGACAACTCCCAATCTTGATCCATGCCAACCCAACATTTACGCCCTCAAACATAAAGAATCATTATGAAATAAATTATGCTATTAGTGCATATTGATGTATAAACTATGAAGATTCAAAGTCACGATAAAAATCATTGGCACCAACCATATTATGTACACTATGGCATTAATTACTATTGGTATCATTCCCATATTTACTTGTGGTTTAATTGCTATATTATTTACTTCTACATTTGTACAAAGTGCAAAGTTTATATTAAGTCTATGCAATAATTGGCACCCTATCAATAAAAAGATACTAATATTATGTATGAATAGACTTGGTCATATATTATCGTATTACTTAGGTATATATTAAAATTTGTATTAAGAATTAGTATTAATTTCGTTCTCTATATATAATCCTTATAAAGCCATGAGCTCTCGGATGAAGATTTAGGCACCATCTCGAGCAGCCATGAGGCTTAGCAGCAAGCTATTATTACTCGCCATTGTACTTGTCCTGTTACCATCAGGTAAGACTAAGCATGATAACATCAGTTTGTCTGGTCAGATAGTTTATTTGGGATGGTAGAACGAATGAACAATCATGACACCATTTAATTTTATTCTTGTGTGTGGCGGTGTATTGTAGAGATTTGTACTTCTAGGGTCATCCCTATGGAGGATGGCCTCTTCACCACGGATTACTCACCATCAACATGCTCACGAATCATTCGCTTTGGCACATGTGATAACAACGGGTGCCGTGACGACTGCAACATGAAACTCAACGGGATTGGCAAATGTGTTGATAAGGGGTGCCAATGCTCATTTCACTGCAGCACTCATCCTTCTCCCATCAAGACAACGTGCAAGTAGCTTATGTTAAATTATATAAATGGACCTAGTATGTATCTAGCAT